TCGCAATGTAATGTATTTCTTGATGTTAAATTTCAGTTGTTTGTGTGGCTAACAAGTGTTGTCCCATGTGTGTACATGTGTATATATATCTCGCAATGTAGTGTATTTCAAGATGTTAATTTTCAGCAGTTTGTGTGGCTAACGAGTATTGTCCCAAGTGTCTACTTAACTTTGACTTGTAATATAATGTAACATAACTGCTCCACAATAAGGTACTCATCAAACGCTACTCTTAATCTCCTATAAGATAGGAGCCAAGAGTAGAATCAGAGTAATTTACGTAGAAAAGTGATTGTGAAATTATCAGAAATTATAAGAAAATGCTGTTTTGATGGTAAACTAATGAAAAAAAGCTGTGAGAAATAAATATCGAGGTTCGGTTGGCAATCTCTTGAACGTTGATAATGTAGCATGAAAGTAAGTTTGCAGTTATTAGACATTACATACTTTCGTCTAAAGTTCGTACCTTTTATCAAACCCTCATACTGGAAAAAACGTATAATGGCGAAAATCCATCTATTAATATCGATCAGCAAGTTTAACAACCTTCTATCTCTAGAAAATAATGAAATGACTCCTGTCATGAAGTTAAAGAGTGGTATTGGAAAAAAAAAGATATAAATAATAAAACATATGCCAATTAAAGTGACGTAACGCAGATGTTGTTTCGGGGATATAACACAACAAAGTATATCACAGTAACTATCCTTAGAAAAATACTTTATCTCCATTTTTATATTGTACTTTCTTGTTTGTAATCGAATAGCCAGAGTTTTGAGATTATTTCCTCAAGCTACAAATCCCTATTTCGACTCTCCTAAATATTACAGTTTTTAGACGTAGAGTCAAAATAAGGATTTGTAACTTGAGGAAATAATTTAAACACTATGTCTCAAACCTTAAGCTTGTTTGTTTATTTTTTGTGATTGCATTTTCACTTTGATTTTTTAAGCTTCCTTTCTTGTTTCTGTATTTTTTAAAGATCCCTATTCCCCCCTTTTTAAATTAACAATTTTTGATGGTCCTGTTTCTTTGTTTTTTATGTCCATCATAGACAAATGTCTGTATAATAGCAATACTGTCCTATTTGAAACAGTCTAGTATGCAGGCGAGCAGATCAGGCCTGTGTTTTGGCTCAATTTAGCAAATCAAGTACTACATTCTAATTTTGGTAGTTTTGGAAAGTGTAAGTCCCGACAATATAACAAACCTAAGTTACCCAGAATTCCTTAGGAGGAATATGCTGAAATTACACCATCAAAATGGTCGACATTCTGTGTTTTTTTTAATTTCGTTTCAATTTTAAGTGTTTACTAAGTCATATCTAAACACCTTTTTGCAGTTTTTTCAACTACATACACTATGGGAGTATGATAGAGTCACCATTAAACGTTTATAGTTAAGTGTTCATGTTACAATAAAGTGTAAAATCTTAAATTCTGTGACCTTTAAAAAGGAATCTTTAAAAGTTAGGTTTCAGCATTTAATAGATGCTGATTTGGATACTTATTAACCTCATCCAATATTTAGAAACAGGATTACTTGATAGAGGGCAATTTTCAAATGACAGTCATAATTGCTTACAATAACTGACTGTTGTAGTAGAAGTAAACATTCTTTTTCACCTGGTGAATACATATATTGTCCAAAAACTCCATTTTGACAAATTTGGCAAACTGTATTGTGTTTGTGAATGCAGAATTATATAAATGTATGCACTTTGATCATTCTTCCTACTGTCACTGAAAGTTAATTCAGACTACCGGAAGCATATTGTGCAATTTCCTCATAGTTTTGTGGATTTCCATATTGTTCATCACCGTCACAAAAGCACATCTCTGAACAAACGAGTTCATCTTGACAGCAAGGGCAATTCTCTTTCATCAAGCATTTTGTAGTACCAATGCAGCCAAAGTAGAAGTCCTATATTTTGTCTAAGGCTGTCAGTCCTTCAAAGAAGACAGAAACTGTGATGTTATACTGAAATGTCCAGCAATCTCCAACAGGGCTGGGAACTTTTGGTTTCGCCAGATGAGCTGGTGTCCATGTCTTTGCTTGCCACGAGGTTCTCAAAGAATGAGGCTTTACATGGAGGTAGCTTTGCTGTAGGTACACTGTGTGTTGCAGCCAGACGAACACGGAGCTTATTGAGAGATGCATGTGTTCCCTTAGATTTGCTTTTCTGATCATAAATTGCAGCCACAAAACGTCTTGCAGCACTTATGGCTGCATCCTTGTTGTCTTTACTAAGTGCCCGAAGACAAGCAAGTTCTGTGCTAGGCATTGTCTGTATTAGCTGAAGCACTGTCTTCTTTTGTACACCAAAGAAGGTTGAAATCATATCACAACTGGTAAGAGCATACACTGCTTACAATACTGTACATACCGCTGTCATGAATAAGAATCATTTGATGTAGATCAAGGAGTCTATTAATTCTACCATTCTCCATCCAGATTTCAACATCAGCTTGCACCAGTGGCTTGTCAAGTGCTAAAATAACAACCACATCAGTCTCTGGTAATTGTACAATTTGCTGAGCCATTGCATTCTTGGAGTTCATCTGTCTGTCAAAGTCTATTGTATGTAGGAGCACACGAGTATCAGGTTCAGTTAGTGTTGATGACAACTGGTCAACTTCTCGTGTGTCTTCAGATGTCATGCATTTTGAGATGAGACTGAATGTGTATCCTCCTGCCAGGCATAGCTTTTGGCTTGGTATGTGAAAGATTGCAGGTCGTGTTTGGACATTCTCCTCAACATAGGTTGATACAAAAGCCGTTAATTCTGCTTTGTTTGATAAAACACCCAAGTTTTTCAAGTCAGTTATTGGTCGTCCACTTTGAACCTGATACTTTTGACTGCTTCTAGACCCTCGACAACATGATCTCTACTCATATTTTGGAGAATTCTGATCATCATACCAGACAAACACAAAGTGTACCTCTTGTGATATTTCAAACAATTTAACTGTCTTGGCGAGACAGGCTTCTCAATGTCGCAAGGTGTTTCATGTTTTTCACATTCATTCACTGGAAGTCTGCAATGGCGTCAATAATGTGGGTAGACACATCTCTGTTAGTGTTAGAATGTTCTGTCACAGACTTCTTCACAATATTCTCGATTATGTGCATAGTGCACTCTTTCTGGTACTGGTAGTAATCATCTTGGTACCTCACGAAGTAAAGCCCAAGTAAGGTCTTTCACACAGTGAAATGCCTGAAATTTGTCAAGCTGCTCGGTTAGAACCTTAAGTGCATCAGATATTCTCTCCAGTACTGGATTAAGTTTTAGCTATTCAAATGGGAAGGTCTTCAGAAATGAACTATCCTCGCATTTTTTGTGTTATTCATTGCAGTTTTGTAGTATGGGGCTGCCGATCTGCTAGACATTACTGAAATACTACTCTGGCCCTCGAATGGCACGTATTTTTCCCATATACAGTTTTAGCATTGATATCCACATTGACATCACCCTCTTGAATCAGTGCACTTGGACACCAATTGAAATAAAGCCTGACATCAGTTAAATCAATTATTGTACAACATTTATTTACAGTGAATCTTCTTGATCTATAAATATCCATTCATGGTACATTGGTGATCATTTGATAAGGGCCTTCTGGTGCCCGTTTACTTTTAATGGTCGAATGTCGTTTAAAAATAACACATTTTCACGCATTTCTATAACTTATAAATTATAGAAATGCGTGAAAATGTGTTCATATAACGATTTACTGACCACACAGTATTAAAACGGAATGGCCAAATAATAACATAGCAGCCATTTTGATAATGTCATTTGATTATGTTCCCCCAATGGTGTTCTGGGTAATTTTGGTTTATGATATAGGCAGGACACATACTTTCCCAAAATAGCAAAATTAGCTTGTAGCAATCTACTTGCCACCTCTACCATTTTTAGAGCACTTTTGAGGCCTAATCTACTCGCCTATTAATGAAATACGTAATTGATCTATGATGCTCTCTCGGGAAACAATGACAACCTTTGACTTGGCTTCATATAGATTGTGTGGCTATAGCTCCTGATATCATTTCCACAATGCTATCATTGATAGTGGTACTGCATGTATGGCGATAAACATACCACGTGTTATGTATATGTAATATATATATATATATAGCTACTATATTTATACATTGTAGCTATATGGGTAGACTGTAAACATTGGATTGGAGGGTCTACTGAACTATACAAGAATGGTGCGTGGACTGGATTTTGTAACCGCATGAGTTTTGTACATGCATGCACATGCAATGCATGTCGGATAGTATTTGTATCTATATATATACATGCAGGCTTTGTAGTTTTTTTTAATTGTAAAGCCGTATGTATATAAATCGCCATATTAATTTTTCAAGTTGTATAGATGAATGCATATATATATTCAGTGCAAGTATAAGACAATGTGTCATGATATAATAGCATATGTTTACAAATAAGCATTTTTTATATTTCTTATAGTTATTATATTCCCCCTTCCTCATCGTCTTCCTTCTTTGTTCTCCACTTGCGTTAGTAAGGCCGGCCACGGTTTTGCTGCAACTGACTAGATTTACTCTTAGAGTGATATTCTGAACACTCTGCAACGTGTTAATTAACAATTATAAATTAATTATATTAATATACCTCTCTCCTCTCCATTTATGATGTTTGAGTTCTGACACTTCTACTATCCTCTTTAACTGTGACGACTCTAAATTCTGGTGGGCCGTCCCTGCTGCATACTTTATCTCAAACTAAATAGCTACGAAATTTCTGCCTTACGTTCGCCTAAAATCGCCATTATTTTTGCAAACTCCTTGCACGATTCTTGCCGCCAAATCTGATTTTATTCCTTTAAGTAGGACGCTGAATCCTTTTTTGGCCGCACCTTTTTTTATACCTAATGTATTTTTGATTATATATCATGGTTTTTCTTAATACACACCAACAAGCCACACTAAATAAGAAAGTAACGCTCGATAGTAACCAACATTAGCTTTAGGATCACAACCCTTTTATTCAAAACAGACCTTTACTATATAGAACCAACCAGATTCTTTAAACAATATGGTGTAGTTTTCCTCTCTGAAACAGTGTTTTGAGCTTCCCCCAAGTAATCGGTACAGCTTATTAAGCACCATTATCTATGCTAGTTGCTTAAGCTTATTTCACGTGACGCTAAACGAGCTTTAATTAGAATGATTTCATAAAATTTAGTAAATTTGTGTGGAAAAGTTGGCAAGGAATAATCTATAATAACTGTCCACCCTATGATTCTTTTGAAAACTTGAACCACAAACTGCTAATCTAGTTTGCTTGGCCTAACCAATACTTATGTATCTGCACGTCCTTTCACTTTATAGTTTTGCTGCTCTAAATCAGCCGTCTTTAATTCGAATGCCACTTTTACTCTTAGGTGAAGCTATAGTAAAAAAAGTTAGGCTAATAGCTCACATGACTTCTTGAGTAGGCGTGTGCATAACTTTTTCTTAAATATGAGCGGTTTTTGTTGAATAACTTTGCATATGTGGTTCATATTTACATCAAATGAGGCTCCTAATTGTAGGTTGTAAAGATCTACCAGTGTACCAAATTTGAAAAAAAAATCATGAAAGCTAAGTATGTTTTTTATCAAATAAAAAGTGTCCGCACTTTTGGTGGGAAGAAAAAAAAGAGGAAGAAACTCAGGTAATTCTTAATGGATTGCCTTGAAATTTGATATGTGAATTAAGAGTCCAGTAGCGCACATCCACTGAAAACATATGATCGTTTGGATAACCACAGTCCGAGCTACAGGAGGTGGAAAATCGCTAAACTATCCTCCTGTTAACAACACAGTGTGTCCTGCAGATTCTGTTTTTTTTGTTTTGTTTTTGCCGCAAGACACACTACGGGTGTCTTGATTACATCCAAGGCCTGCATGTGTGTAGTAGATTATGAGACTCCATATAAACCATGATGCATTTAGTAATATTGCCCAGGTTTTGTCACAATATGCACAGCCATTTTTACTGTTGGCTGGCGGAACAATATTAAATGATTATAATAATAAAGAAGAACGAATTGGCGATCCCTATTATGAACCACTACCGTGGTTCATGATTAACTAATGGAACCGTGTTTTCTTTGTGTATTGTAATGCTATATTATTACTGATACAATTTAGTAACGACGATGTTTTGATGAGCATATGTTGAAAAATAAAACGTTTGTTGAACCAGTCCATAGATATCAGGCTCGAGACAATTTTTAACATATTGATAAAGGAACGTTAATTCTCTACTTAGAGAACTTTAAAATACAAGTACACTTAGTAAACCTATGTGTTAAGATAATATCGAGTAAATATTTCTGTGTGTGACAATATGGTCAATAAGTTTTTGTTACTCAGCATGCTGTATGGTTTCTATCCGTAATAGAAAACCATCGACCAGACCAGCTTGGAGATGAGGCTCATTCTAAAAATCCTCACGAGATTCTGGCTGCAGGCGGTAGGTAATTCTCTTGTTTTATTGTCAGCAAATAATACGTAACAATATAGAATTTATCAGGATATTTTACCAAAAAAGATTTTAAAAATGCGTATACCTTTTTTTTTCTGCTCTTCTTATAATTCTCGCTGTGGTTAAAAGATCAATTTAGTAGCACAAGGTGAGCAGCATTTAGTAGTTGTGAAGGTTTACAAGCACAGGAAACTTTGGCGACCTGCTCATAAATGTTTTATTTCCCCTATAGAAGAGACAATATTATAAATCCTTTCAGATAACTTTAAAAGAAAACGCTCTGTGACGTCTTTTTATAGGAAATTGGCATTTCACGGGAAATCAAAACAGCAAGAGCTTGGTGAGCATTACTTTTAAGATATTATCAAGAGTAAGAAAACGTCAATTGAAAGTCTGGATATACACTCAAACCAAAGAAGTTGGTGATAGACTACTTCTAAGGTATTATCAGAAATAAGAAAGCATTAATTGAAAGCCTGGAAATGCACTCAAACACAAAGAAGTTGGTGATAGACTACTTCTAAGGTATTATCAGAAGTAAGAAAGTTATTGAGTAATGTTAAAAAATGAATTAAATATAAGAGAATTATTAGAAATTGCTAAAAACAAAATGACATTGAATATAGATTTAGGTGCTGGTGCCACGGAAGTAAATATCTGGAACCAATTTTGTAAATGGCGCCACTGAAGAATATGCAAACTGTACATGTACATTTACTCGGGTATATATATACATTATATTTACCTTGTTTTTGTTAACTACATCAGGAGTTCTTTTTTTATAACCTCCTCTTTCTTGCATTTCCCTATTTTTCGATTCATGCTTTCTTTGCTTATAAGCAAACACTTTATAATAAAACACTTTAGAAGTTATGTTCGCAAACCTTCTTCTGGTTAGATTTCCAGATTTTTATACTGACGTTTTCTTGCTATTAAATATCTTAGGAATACTTGTTGAACAACCTCCTGCTGTTTTGATTTCACAACTTTTTGATTGAAGCTTTTGAAGAGTTCGCCACGTATTCTGCCGAGACTGAATCATTAGTTTTTACTTTATCAACGGCATTTTTATGTTCTTTAATTCTAAATGTAGATAGTTCTTTGTTTGTTTTTTAGTTTATATTGCTTTCAACTTTATACAATAAACTATTATGCATTTAAAAATATTCAGTCGTCAACTTATTGTTTATATCAATCGAAAAATCTGACAAATTCTAGCCTCGGAAGGTTGATCAGCAAGTGTTCCTAACTTATTTTCAAAACTAAAGAGATTTACTGTAAAAGTCTCAAAGAATCCGAACAGCAAATATTTAAGTTAGAAACATCTAAAAAAAACATGCAACCTGGTTTTCTTATTTTGATACAGGTTTCATGTTACTTTTCGTTCTCAGAAAAGACGGAATTATTAACTTCATTGTTTGTAATTAAGCACAAAGCTACACAATGGGCTATCTGTGCTCTGCCCATCACGGGTATCGAAACCCGGATTCTAGCGTTGTAAGTCCGCAGACATTCCGCTGTGCCACTGGGTGGCTATTAACTTAATACCCACGTTGAACATGTAAAATCCAAATGATTCAAAAGTACAAGTATTTAAAAAAAATGTTGAAGGAGAACAGAGCCTGATCTATTCAGAACATTTCTTCTGCCACTCTCTTTTGTTGAATCAAGGTCCGTGTGAACACGTTATTATACATTTCGGAAAATATTGATAACGTAAAACATATTTATTTGCTTCACATTTCACAAGATTTCATTTTTGTGGATTTATAATTGTGAGACGAAATACTTAATGTATTTTTGTTATGATGTCTATATTGTTGAACAATCTCGCTGTATAAATATCCATATTCGGAAAGGGCCGAAACATGTTATACATCCATAATCATAGGTCTTTTCGTAGTGGATTTGAACTATTGAATAGTCGGGAATTTGGTGTTAACGGAGTATATAGGTGCTAAGCATATCGTCCAAAGCCCCACGGTTTGCAACTTTGACAACATACCACTGCACTAACATATATAATTAATTCTTATAAATTACGATTAACCTTCTGTAAATGAACCTGATATTGTTAATCTGTAAATGCTTTAGATTTCGCAGAAAGTGTGAGAAATTATTATTGTTTAACATAAAGACATATTGTATAACTCCAACAGTGATGTGATAGCCTATTATGTATTTCTGTTTGCCTTTGTTTTAAAATATTGAATCTGATAAAGTGATATAAAACACCAGAATAAACTGGACTAAGTTCATAATTATCAAGTGTCTTTAATGTTCACTCATCATTGGACGAAACTGTATCTGATAAAGTGATATAAGATACCAGAATAAACAGGACTAAGTTCATAATTATCAAGTGTCTTTAATGTTCACTCATCACTGAACGAAACTGTATATGATAAAGTGATATAAGATACCAGGATAAACAGGACTAAATTCATAACTATCAAGTGTCTTTAATGTTCGCTCATCACTGGACGAGTCAACGAAAGTTGAAGCTAGCTGTATGTAATAATCAAAGTATCATTATTATGATGTCCTTATGATAATTTTAAACAGTGCATTCCTGCCTAATTCTTTTTTTTTTTGTTTAGATTTTTCTTGAAGTCTTGATTACTTCACTTCCATTTGAGAAATTGCACATGGCCGAGTTAAACAAACAGCAAAACAAGTTATCAAGAAACAAATATACATAATCTGTCCATACATTCATACGTATTTTCACTGTTTTCTTTTCTTACACTTACATGCTATTTGAATGAAGATCAGGTGTACGATATTTATTTTAATAACTTCTTTTTCTCATTCTTGTTCGTGGTGATATTTCCAACCCCTCTTTTCACAACAAGGATGTCGTTTTCGAGGTGAGATTCGAACAAACGGGTCAGAGTGGCATCCTACTGTACAACCGTGGGGAGAAATTACGTGTATTAATTGTCATTGTAAGGTAGGTTGAATGTATGAACTGTCACTGAAGATAGGATGAATTCAAGATAGGGTTAATGTACTAATTGGGTCTGTGAGTTAGGTTAAATGTATTAACCGTTAATGTAAGGTAGCATGAATCTATTTACTGTCACTGTAAGGTAGAGTGAATTTATTTATTGTCACGATAGAGTAGTTTTAATGAATTAACTATCACTGTAAAATAGGATGTATTAACTGACACTGTAAGGTAGGATGAATGTATTAACTGACACTGTAAGGTAGGATGAATGTATTAACTATCACTGTAAAATAGGATGAATGTATTAACTATCACTGTAAAATAG